AGGTGATGACACGACAAACGTTGCGCTTGCATGCACTTTGTGATGTGCGCTTCTTTGTCACTGTTTGTGTCAGATCGTTTGGTCTCCTTCCAAGTCTCACTGTCACATTCGTTGCCACACGCGTGCATCCGCATCAGCTGGCCGCCGCTGTTCCTGCGCTGCTGTCGCTCTTGCGTGATCCTTCCTCGCGCTGTCAAGCCAATGCTGCAGGTACGACAACAACGACAGCGCCCACGGTTGTGTTTTGAGTGCACAGTTTCGATGTGGTTGCTTGAAGTTGGCCTTTTGTTGTGCTTCTGTTGGATGCTCTCTCACTCACGAGCGTTGAACTGTTCCTTGTCATGGTTCAGCTGCCATTGGCAACTTGTGTCGCAACAGCACGCAACTTGACGACGTGTTTGTTCAACACCATACATGCGAAAGGTGCAGCGAACGCAATGCAGTTGCGCTTCTGCGTGCTCCCATCGCTGGCGCTGTTCGTTCTTGCCGCTGTTTAAGTCTTGTTCCTCTGCCGGGGTTTCCATCATTCACAACACATACACACACCTGTTACATGCATGCAGGCTATTGGACTGTTTGGATGCAAGCGAAGTGACACAAACACAGCAAGTTGTCCTCTTCAGTCTTGGTGAGAGCTGCATACATCTTTAATGCAAGCATGTACTTTTGTCGGCTTGGATATCCATTCTCGCTAACAGCGACCACAACAGCAGCTTCAGCAAGATCAGTCTTTCCCGCCATCTTATCTGCTTTTCACACGCTCAACCACATTGTCCTTCCTGCAGGCAACCTGGCCAAGCTGCCGAAGAGCAAAGGGACGATTGACGGCACGCGCATCCGTCAAATACAGCTCTCAGACTCCACAAGTCGCAAGTATGCTGCTCGCGTTCTGAACAAGCTAGAAGCTTCGTCGTAGTCAATCGGCCTGTAGTGCCGAAACATCACCACTGCCACTGCCACCGCCACCGCAACAGTCGCTGCCCTCAACCCAGCCCGCTGTACACGCTTGCTTTGCCACATGTTACTTCGACCATGCATCGTATCGTGTTGCTTCAATTGTGGACACATGATGCATGCATAGTTGATTCCGCTGTGCCCTTGCTTCTCTGTCATCGTGTACATGACCTCTAGATGTCTCCTTTCATTCATTCATTCATTCATTTGGTTTCTGGTGTCGACATGAGGAAGCTGCATTCACATACACGCAATGGATAACAAAACGAAAGCGTACGTCGACAACAGGCGAACGAGAGGCGAAAGTACACGCACACACACACACACACACACACACACACACACACACACACACACACACACACACACGTTCAGATACAACCCCTTGCTTTTCTTCACACACCTCACCCTTTCCTCCAACACATACACATACACGTACACATACACATGCACATACACATACACATACACATACACCCAGCCATTCGTTTACAGCCACGTGTCTTCCTCGTGCTGGGTGTAGTCGAGGGTTGTTGGAGCTTCGGTGAACACAAGCGGTGCCTCTGAGTCCGCACGGGAAACTGCATCTTGATTCACCTGTCGCATCTCCATGGTGTCTGGCTCATCGACGTGGCTTGCAGGCACAGGCGCAATCTGCAGGTACCCGCTGTCCGGATGGGTTGGCGCAACGCCAGCATCATTGAATGACACATCACGGTGTGGGTGCTGCTGTTGTTGATACTGTGGGTGTTGTTGTTGCTGAGAAGACGACGATGGGGATTGGCTGTGAAGAGACATGTTTGCTTGCTCAAGCGACCGCGCAGCGTACTGCTGCATGACGCGCTGTTGCTCCTGCAACATGGCCCGCAAATCAGCAAAGTCGTCATTGGCCGGTGGCGGCGGCGGGGACGACTGGAACTGTGGTGGCGGTGGCGGCTGTTGCTGGTGTTGTTGCTGGTATGGGTTGCGTTGCTGGTGCTGGTGCTGGTGCTGCGGGGCCATGTCAGCAGGTGGGATGGTCCACGCACCATGGGCACCTGCGCCCCGGCTGCTGGCTGGGTGCGGCGACTCCGCCGGCCCTTCGCTCTGCATGCTGCGCGGCGTGTCGAGCTGGCGTTGGCCAACCACCTGCACGTGCTGGTTGTGCAGGAGCCCGTGCAAGGACGACGTACGGCGGCGAAGCGGATATCCGCCCATGGGCTGACCAGGGGCACCGGGCCCGCCGAGCGAGTAGCTGTCTGCCTCGCTCTCGCTGTACTCATCGCGCCACGTGCGGGAGTCCGGGCGGGCGTGCGGGTTCTCGTAGAAATAGTGCGTTGCGCGCTGGCGCGGGGACACGAGTGGCCTGGCACGCTCCTTCGGGCGCAGCTCCACCAGCTCCTCCTCGACTTGCCAGAACTGCTTGCCCTTGTCCTCTGTCGGCACAGTGGACATCTCGTGCACGCGAGAGCGCGTGCTGCGTTGCACAAGCACGATGATGATGAGCAGCAGCAGCACGCCGCCCGCAGCGGCAACGCCAGCAATGCCGCCGGCCGTCAGGTCGGAC